TGCTTTGGATTTCATAATAAAATAAATAAATGAAATGGAGATGAGATTTTCCTTCTATTAGATCCATGCGAGTGGGTTATGACTGTGGTGGCTCACCGATGCTGGAGTTCCTGCTGCTGCGAGGCTTGGTGCAGGTCACACCATCGAAGAAGAGCTTCAGCTGGGAGTACAGCAGTGTCACATCTTTACCTCTGAAAATCTGTCAGAGAGAGTAAGAGCCCGGCTGTCAGTACAGGCCAATCTGACAAGAGACATGAAACCCAGGACCCACAACAGGACTAATTCAAATGGTGGAAAAGGAAGGTTTTACGTAAGAAAGCCAACCAAACCCAGGTAGAAAATATTTTTCAATTTCAGTTTTAGCGTGCAACATTATTGTGCCGCCTCCTGAAGAGTTCCAAGGTTTGGTTAGTTTAGCTAAGTTTTACTTCTTGTTAAGTAAACCAAAAAGTTATGCACTTATGTTATACTTAAAATTTCATGGGACCTTGGATGCTTTAGTGCTCACATTTGATGTACAATACTTTTGATATATACATTTGACATATAATACTCTGTCACTATTGTTGCATTACAGCACTACTACTGCTGTGGCAATAGCTTGACAGTTCGTCTGTCATAAATGACAGCAGGAAAAGAAGGACGGGAAGTGTCCATGAGACTTTAAGAGAATGGGTGGATGGATTTTAAATGACTGTCACCTCTCTGGCAGACAGGACTCATTTATTTAACATCAAATGTTATAAGTGTACATTTATGAATTACCACAAATCCTGAGCTCACCTTAGCCACAAACGTTCCTCCAGGCTTCAGGACATGTGTGGTAATGTTCAAAGCCTAAGAAACAAACAGCTGTTAGCGTGATATCACAAGAAATCTGACAGTGCAATCAAACACATCTCTGTACTCACAGCTAACAGGAGCTGAGCCTGGATGTATTCATCCACATCGTGGAGTCCAGTTACTAAGAAAAGAACATAAGAAATAGAATAAGAACAACAAGAGGGGGACAGAGGAGACTTAAGAACCAACGACGTCAGACAGAAAGCAAGCCTCTCACCATCTGGAGCTCCGTCACACACTACAAGGTCGGCCGGCTGACCCTCAAAGTGGCGAATTATTTCCTGAGCTGTTGACACCTAGGAGAAAGACATTGACATAGGTCTTCACTCCTCCACGCCTACGAGTTGAGTTACTGTGATTACTGACATCATTGTGCTTATGTCCCTACCTTGGTGATGTCTCCCTGGATTTGAGTAACTCCGGGCAGAGGAGCCATGGCCTGAAGGTCCACTGCCACAATCTTCACTTCCTCACCACTCTCACCCTTTTCAGCTTTCTCCGCACACCCTCTTTTAATAAAAACAATCAATCAAACAAACAAAATGCACAGAATAGTTTTTTAGTATGTAGACACATTTTATGAATATATCACATATCATAATCCAAATACTTTATAATAGAAATAAAGCAGCTCCAAAAAATTCATTTAAACACATATTCACACAATTTACATAAAATATCACGGCAACAAACTGTCCTCCATCCACAGTCCCAGAGATCAGGCGTTGAAAGCTTAATAAATGTGTTCAGATTAGATTTAAAGACAACCACAGCTGATGCCAGTCACTTGGTGCAGAAACAACAAGAGCAGCATAAGGATGGTGTGTTATTCTTAGCATGATATTCTGGTATTTCCAACACCTTTTTTAATCCTATAGGTGTTTTCATACCTATAGTTTGTTAATTTGATCCAAATCAGTTGATAAGTTTGTAAACTTGTAGCTTTTTCCTGTGGGTTAGTTTGTTTTCATACTGAGGAAGATCTAAAATGCGTCACTATAAACCACATGAGAATGTTCAGTCAGCTCATTAGCCAGATGTGTCTGGGGCAAGTGCAACAAAAGTAAATACAGGAAGAAGGTGCTGTGTTCTGGTTTATTGGAGAACACAGAATTTACTTTCATTTCAGAGCTTGTTGCTAGCCCGTACAGACCTTTGCACATCTATAGTACCTTTCTGCACTGAGAAAACAAGCATACATGGATGGCTATGGGATGGGTTTTTTTATAGCTCAAACTCGTGACATAGTTGGATCAGGTTGACACATAAACAAACTGCTCTGGAGTTTATTTGTAATGGTACTGAGACCACCTCCTCCAAATTGTCTTGGTGGGGTTGTTTTGGTTCACATCTCATTACGAATACTGTGTTCACACTTGCACAAATGAACTGCACCAGGTAGGAAAATGAACCGGGAGTTCAATTGAAATGGATTAAACACCACAGTTGTGAAAACACCATATAAATATGAGAATACACCCCTGCAGCAGTTTATATGCTATAAAAAGAGGAATAGGATAAGAGTTCAACTCTAAGGCCCATGTTATTTCTTTAATGGTATATTTCTAAAAAAAAAAAAGATTTGTTGTATAAAAGTGTAATATACTGCAGCCATGCAAATCATTTTTGCTCAGCTAGGATATGTTCACTATATGTTGGCATATTAAAATAAGTAACATGTTACCTGAGTTTCCGGCTGAGAACCTGACTCCAACTTCCAGGGGCTGCACAGAGATCCACTGCTCTGTTTACACCTAAAAAAGAAGAAAACAGACATTTATCAACAGACACAATAGTACAAGGGCTGGCAGTGAGCTTTTCATGTCACTGTGGAGAAATTTTGGCCCACTATTCTTTACAGAATTATTTTAATTCAGCCACATTAGAAGGTTTGGAAGAATGTATGCCCTATAAGCTCATGACAAAACATCTCAATACTAAATCATTTTATATCATGAAAAAGTCACATCAGGGTTTTCTAAAGAACCCCTTTTCTACATATTATACATATACTAAACTATTGATAAAAGTCTTTCTCAGGTGACCTATGGGTCTCACCTGTGAACAAGTTGAACTCTTGATCGAGCTGCAGCAGCTTGAAGGCGCTCCTCGCTCTCCAGCCCTCCTCTTTGGCCAGTCGATAGTAAATGTCTCGTTTGTCTTTGGAGGACCGACCCATATTGACCTATGACCCCTCTGAAGGAAAACACACAGTCACAATGGCCCCTATTCTTTTAGAGCTATTATCGCTATAATGGAAGCTGTCTGTATAACACAGGCTGTATTTCTTGAGTATTGTTGCATTTGGATTTCGGTTACTACAGGAGAAGACCCGCTGCATGGCTGTCCGTCCTTGTTGTTTGAAGGTAGGTTAGCGTCTTTGTGTGAATTAAATTCAAGTTCATACTACACAAAACACGTAAAAACACAAAGACTGGTTCACGACACCCAGACTCACTTACTTTCACGTGGGCTTTGCTGTTGTCGACTGTGAAAAGACTCTTCTTCTTTTCGTCCTTCCGCCTCTTCTTCGTCTTTGGTGTTTAACGGCAATTCGCATCCAGGATAGTGCATTACTGCCTCCTGTAGGATTGTCGAATCATTTAAGGTCACTAGCCAATCATTTTGCTTCTTGATCCTCTTATGTCGCCAGAGGTGGGAAGTAACGAAGTACAAATATTTCGTTAATGTACTTAAGTAAAGTATAGATACCTGAAAATTGTACTTGAGTATTTATTTTTCTGAAAACGTTACTTTTCCTCCTACATTTTCACATAAATATCTGTACTTCCCACTCCTTTCATTTTCAAAATAGACTACTTTCGGTTTAACATATTTGAAGTGATTTTTAATTTCATGCCACAGCGGGCCTTCAAACATTAAACCGATTTGAGCCAACACAGTAAAACATGAAAGATAGTCCTAATGGTGTGTCAATCACCAGGGGTTAGCGTACTTCAGCATCTACCTAGCTCTACAGAAGAGAAGCATGTACAAAGGGGGTAACATTTTGTAAGTGTAAGTATTTTCAAATGTAAGGTTTATGTCAGCTCAACAAAGACACAGACTGTTTCTTTCTCACACAGTGTGTCTGCTAGCTAAAGGTGTATCTGCTGCTACACTTAACTTTACTCAGAGGTGGAAAAAGATAAGAAAGTCAGGACAGGATAGGAAGAAGAGAAGTTGTATTTAAAATTAAGGCCTAGCCAGTGGGATTTGATAAGGGGGAAATTTAAAGCTAACATGTAAATCCTCATTTTTAAAAATAAGATATTTGCTCTGTATATGACATTGTTTTGCAGGATGTTTCATATTGTGAAACATCCTGCAAAACAAACTGAGGTATAGCTTAGTAACTTTGTATTATTGAAAGGCTGCATGAAAATACTGTGCAGTTTAATGCAGGATAAACAGGTTGGTTTGCTGTACTGTGTCGGACTGGTGCACAGAAGCTGTGATGTTCTTGGTCATGGGTAGGTTAAATGAAGGGAATTGGAAATTATTTTACATTTTTGGTGACGACACGTAGATTCATTCACTGAATTCCACCTTCATACCAGTTTTATACTGTTTAGCATAAAGCATATTAGGACTGAAAGTTTATATTCCTTTGTACTAATATAATCTTATCATATTAATACAGGATTCAGTTGGCTTTGCACAGTAATAACTGGTAGCCTACAAATGGCCTTAAAAGACTACTTTTTACTTTCTTACTTTGAGTACATTTCAGAGGCTGCACTTTTTCACTTTTCATTGAGTAAAGAAGTAAAATTAGAACTTTTACAGTATTTATAACATAAGTATCTGTACTTCTACTTAAGTACAGAATGTCTGCACTTTTGCTACCTCTGAGGAAAACTGAATAGTGCTGCCCTTACTAAATCACTGTACGCCACTTCTACGTTGTACATTATGTCCTTGACTCAGTTTCCATCATTTCTTTCCTTTTTCTCATGGATTGTCTGCATGACAGAAGAACACACTTAACTGTCTCAGTCTTGTGACCAGAGTTGTTATAGGTTTGTAGTTTCATAACATTTTTCAGACTGAAAGTGAAATATTATAAAATACTGAATCAATTAAATTGCGTTAATATTTAAAAATATCTTTTCTAAAAAAAATTAAAAATCCCAAGCCAATAAAAATGTACATGGGCCAGTAAAACTGAGCCACTGACCTGAGGGATTTGAACTTGGACACTGAATTATTGTTAATATTGATTAACATGTACACCAACATACCCTCAACACAAGAACTTTGCATCAAAGCACAGGGCAAACTTCAGAATGCTAATATACTTGCTTCTCAACATTGCAGCCACCACATTTCGCTTTAAAGGCTTGCAGAAACAAACTCACTCATTTACTTGCACACTTAAACACATAGACGCACATGTACAAAAACTCATAAAGCCTTCAAGGAAGAAAACGTAAAGATGAATTTTTACGCTTTACTTTAGATCTTTTTTTAACAAATGAAACAGATCTTCCACAGCCCTCAGCCTCCAAATTACAGCATGTACATCATTTGATGCGGTCCAGTGGCAATCCTAGACTTGCTGGGTCTCTTGTCAGATGGGGGACTGGCCCTTTGCCTTAGCTAGGTAGGTGCATGATGTTGTGGCCAGGTGGCTGCAGCCTGACCCTTCCCCGCGAGAAGTTTTCGTGCTGAACATGGTGGTTCTGGAGCAATCCATGGAGGGGCTCCTGGCTGGGACAGCAAAGTGAATCCGCTGTCACCGGTCCTTGAGCCTTGAGATTGCCGTGACCCTGGCTGAGGACCATCCGGCAGTGCGGCTAGCTCCATCGCAGGAGCAGCCGAGGCCAGCGGCAGGAAGTCAGGCAGACCTGGCCTTAACAAGGTTTCTCAAGGTTCTGCTGAGCAGCAGCCATTTCCTTTGATTAAATGCATTGTCTCTCCACAATTCCCGGCAGCCACAGAAACTGTGCCCAGCTGTTCAGAAGCCGTGCAATTGTCAGGGCAGAAGTGCTGGAGATGCGGGCAGCATGGACACATCCTCATGATGTTCCACGGCACCAGCCCTCCGACAACTTCCCCTGGTTCAGGAGAGACATACTGCAGTCCGGTAACATACTAAGAGGGTATATACCAGGCAATGGTAAACTCCGGCTACATGCAAATCCTGGTTTGCACAGAGTAGGACTGTGTAGGATTTCTTTAAGTTAAAAAAGTGTTTTTAACCTTTACCTATTTGTTATTCAGTCACATAAAAATTAACCATGTGAAGGAGAGATTGGCACCTGTCTGGCAGTTGTCAACTTTTAGCTTTCCAGCACGCAAAGTAAAACAGTTGCCATATTTTTACATGACTACATGTTTCTGCAGAGCCGTACAACATAACCTACATGAGTGGCCAACATTACTGCTGGCCGTCACGCTTGTGTGTAGAGTATTAAACAAACTTATTATTATATTTGGCTTGTCATAAATGTTCCTGTAGACAGTTCTGCTCTTCAAAGCTGATCATACCTACATTATGAGGGCCTTGACCCTGATTGACAGCTATTAATAGAGAAAGACTGAGTCAGAGTACTGGTGGTGGCAGCTGTGACAGGGAAAAGCTGTGTAGTATAGTGAAAAGAATTGAGACCAATATTATCTGCTTCTATATAAAAATATATATATAAAAAAAGTTTAATTGGAATAATGTCCATGAAGAAACCTTTCCTGCCAGGATTCTACATTTCAAAATGTCAACAAATAAAATATAAAAAAAAAACAATAATGAAGATAACAAAATACAATAAATGCATACAAAAGTATATACATATAACAAAAATGCATGTTTTCAAAATAAAAAACACAATATTTGCATTGACTGTGCATCTTATACCCTGACAAACAGATGAGGTTGACTGCGGGTATTCCCTGTCAAGCACACTGGATGTGGACACATTTTAAGTAAAATCAGCCCTGCGAGAAAAAACCCCCAATCAACTGAAAAACCGACTGTCCAGATGATTGTTTAACCATAGAAACAAAAAACAAACAAACAAACAAACAAACAAGTTTTACATTGCAGACTAACTTAATATATCTGGAAGACTTAAAATCCCCTGCAGCCTTACAGACGATTAGATGTTCCATTGCCCTGATGTGGCTGCACACAGCAGAATTTAACCAGATGTTCAAAAATGTTTTCATTTTCAACGTCTAGAGATTCTCTCCCTTTGCAGTCTGGTTTTTGCCAATGAATGACACTTTCCCCATAGCAGCTTTAAATAAACAAATTCAAGGCACTTTTAACGCAGCACAAAGCTGTGCCACAGCAGCAAACTTCATCCACAACTGTGAACAACTCCCACCGACATGAAGTCATAGACACTGAAGGACAGCTGTCAGTCAAGTCCAAACCATGCCCAATGAGATTCTACTGGTTGGGAGGGGAGTAGGAGGAAGATGGATTCAAGGAGGAGCAGGAGGTGTTATCTTTAACAGCATGAAGTGTGATGGCTGCCTCGTCTGTTCGCTGAGCCCTGCTGCCCATCAACCAAGGGTGGAGGAAGATCTGCTCCAGGGTTGGCCGGTCGGACGGCTGCTGGCACAAACACCAGCCAATCAGCTGCTGGCACTCTGCAACAGAAAGATAAACTACTAGTACAAAAGCTTGAGGCACAACACACTGACCAATGACAAATCATTTATATCAGGGGTCTCAAACTCCAGTCCTTGAGAGCCGCTGTCCTGAAACTTTTCCATGTGTCCCTATTGCAGCACACCTGAAGACAATTAGTAGGTCATTACCAAGACTGTAGAACTTTAGTGCATGCTGAGCTGGCAATTCAGCCATTTGATTCATCTTACAGCAGCTCATGAGTGAATGAACATGGTGCAAAAGTATTTTTAGAAGTACATTTTTCCAAACACTTACATTACGGTAACTTAAATTTACTTGAGTAGGGTTAGGGGTTGACACTTCAGCATGCAGTTCTATGCTCTTGCTAATGACCTAATTTTATTCAGGTGTGTTGCAACAGGGACACCGGCCCTCAAGGACTGAGACCCCTGCAATAGGGTGAGTCACAACAATCTGAGTTTCCAGCTCTTATACACAATCTTGTCATTGCACTGTCTTTGTAAATACTGGCACTTCTTTTTCTGCCATAATCCAGTTTGCACTGGCACAGTGTGTTAGTAAATAGTCAATCAACTCAGAGTGGATGAAGTTGTTTCATGAAACAGAGCCCAGGATAGCCTCTTTCATGCTTCATGCTTGTGAGCATTTGTGTGTTTGATGTCAGTTCATTGGTCAGTTTTCCCACCCTCTTTGCCACTAAAAATGCCAATGCTGCAAAACAGGAACGGAGACAATAGACAATTTCTATCACTGGGTAGACTGACCTGAGGAGACTTTCCGCCTGAAATAGATCTGTCCCATTAGGATCTCCTCGTCATGTTCAAAGGGGATGTCGCCACACACCATGTCATACAGCAGCACACCGAGTGACCAGACGGTGGCTGGTCGCCCATAGTATCGATGGAATCGGATCCACTCTGGAGGACTGTACACTCGTGTCCCTGCAGGGAGGACAAATACAGAAAAGCATCAGGCATTTTAAAGCCAAGCAATGGCTCCAGCTGCAACTCCTGGCTGCCTATAGAGTCAGGAACATGCCCTCCTCATCAATGAAGGCAACTTTCTGAGCATAATGATCCATCTCTAAATAGTAATTTTGTGTGTGAGTGGGGGATGTGTGGGTGGGAGCACAAAATAGTGACAGACACAAAAACAGTGACCGATAATGGGACATTTCGACTCACCATCAAACTCTGTGTAGACAGTGTCTTTAAGAACAGCCCCTGAGCCAAAGTCGATGAGTTTGACCTGCTCGGTCCTCAGGTCCACCAGCAGGTTCTCGTCCTTAATATCACGGTGGACAACGCCACAGGCATAGCAGTGACGTATGGCCTCCAGTACCTGCAGGAAGAAGCCACGTGCTGCCTCCTCATCAAGAGCGCCACGCTCTGTGATGTAATCAAACAGGTCCTGACATGGCTTGGGGTGCTCCATCGCTATAAACCAGCCATCCGCCTGCTCCCACCAATCCAAGAGCTGCACCACGCCAGCAAAGGTCCCACTCACTTTCTTCAGCAGCACAATCTCTAAAGGAATTAAAGCTCCGCACTGAGAGAGCAATTTAAATAATCAGGATGTCGTCCTTTAAATTACATCAAGTTAAATACAGATAAAAGTATGCAAAGAAGAGGAAGACGATCATGTGGGTTTTTATGAAGAATGGCACATGAGGACCAACAGGTTGCTGGAAATCCAAAAACAAGGAACTAAGGTGTTTGGGGTGTTTTGCTTGGTAAAAAATTTATGATTATAAAGACAAGATATACTTTATTTGTCCCAACAGTTGTGATGTTCCTTTGTTACAACAGTTTATAAAGTTAAGGTGAACAAAACCTATATCCTGATTTTTAAATCATTTAATGCATTCATGCAACAAGCACCTCATCCTACAGAAGCACACGCACTCTGACAGTGGCTTTTTTGTCTAATGATAACCAGTCATGCATCTATACCAAAGCATGCAAAGAACACAAGGAAACTGAGGGCACAGTAAGAAGCTTCATGGGCCATACATAGCAGCAGTAGAAAGTTAGACTTAGTTATTGACCAGACATATTCATTAGAGGTGGGAATCACCATACATCCCACGATACGATATTATCACAATACTTAACGCACGATACGATATTATCACAATACTTAACGCACGATACGATATTATTGCAATTTTTTAAAATATTTTGCGATATTCAGATTCTGTACATAAAGGTAAACTTTATCAATATTCATTTTATCTAATATCAAAGTCTCGCACTCAGTCTTTCTCTCATTTCAGTCAGTTTTATTGTTGACAAACTGAACGGTTTGTATTACAGTCTAGTCCAACTTAACTGAATGCAACCATCTGGCACAATTATAGCTATTCTGAACTATGCAATTTGTGAAACCTATACAGCCTCTTCAGCAACTGAAGAATTTGAAAGTAAATTAAAACAAAATATAATTTTACATTAAATAAAAAAAGTTTTAAACTTAATTAAAATAAAACATGTCTTAAATTAAAATAAGTAAACTGTCATGTTTATTGCTGCCAAAAAACAAGTTAAACACATTTGGACAGTGTCAGGATTCTTGCTCAGAAAAAGGATCAACATGCTCTGAAGTCAGAGCATGTTCCAGTCCACAAAAACTTTTTTTGTAACAAAATATCGATTTCTGCTGTCCCTGTATCGATACATTATTAGCAAACAAAATATCACGATACTACACAGTATCGATTTTTTCCCCCACCCCTAATATTCATTTTATTCATCTATTTGTGAACACGAAAGATAATTTCACATAGTAATAGAAGCTGAAGTGGTAAGAAAACAGGTAGTAAGGCAATTAAAACTGTTAAACTGCAAGTAGAAATGCAGGCAGCCCTTACCAGAGAACCCCACTCAGTCACCCGATCCTTGCTCACATGTTTCACTGCCACCTACATGTAAATAAACACCATCAAAATATTATAAACATATCCTCAGAATAAAACTGAATAAATTCTCTTTCTATACTAAAATACAAACCATCATACAGCAGCTTTAGGGTAGATCTGTGCATGCTGATAATATGAATCTTTTGGTCTAACAATGTTGTTCCTGATTTATGAAATAACTTTATTTTCCCACCGTAATTAAAATAACTATTATTGTCAAATTCCTACTTCCAATAAGTAAAGATTATTTAGCAGAAGGAACGGAGAGTAAAGCACTTTTGTTTAATAACCGGCTTTCTTTGTGACAACAAAGACATGAGCCAGGCATGCCGGCACTGAGTCAAGCTGCACAGCTGATAGCAGTAAAAGAGGAAGTAAGAGTGACATATGTGGGTTTTAAATAAAAGCAGCATCTGAAAAAGTTTTTTTTTAATTCCAAACTGACAAAAAGAAACGGAATTTTCAATTTTTTGTTAATTACCTAATAAAATGATGATAGATAAAATTACAGCTATGGAAAATTGTAATGATAATGTAGGCGAGAAGCCAATACTTTTAACAGACTAAGAAGATGCTGTAATTGAAAACAACAATTAAAAAAACAAAAACAAAGCCTAGATTACGTGAATTCATATGAATGTGACACATTTACTGGAGAAAACAACAAGATTTAAGTTCAGAGCAGACTACAAGTCATGTAGACACTGGTCTTAAATAAAACAATCTTCATGCTGGCTGTTGAAAGACTGGACCAAATTAACAAAGACTGAAAAATTAATGACTGTATATTAATTCATTATTTCAATTCAATTAATTCGTATTTGAGATAATTGTTTTCATTTAGTCTCAAATTCAGTCTTCCTTTTTAATGCAAGAACCTTGAGGCCTAATACAAAATATTTAAGTAGGATTGTCAGTTATTGTTTTTAAACTCGAACATTCAAGTACGGCTTGATTTTGAAGGGTCAAACAGGAAACTCAGCTGTCTGCTACAAGGCATCTTGACAATGAGAGTTGGGCATGTGCTGCGACCAAAACAAAGCCGCCCCTCGGCTCTTACCGGCAAACCATCGGCGAGGCGAACAGCCGAGTAAACGGTACCGAATCCCCCACTGCCGAGAACCGGACCCAGCCGGTACTGCTTCTCAAGCGACTGCTTCTCTGCGTTGGCTGCAGAGCACAGGGAAGAAAAGTCAGGGCTAATCAAAGTCACGTCAACTTTGCAAATAAACCCCAACATAGTACGTCCTGCGATTAGAACTGCGTGTAATCGTCGACACAAACGTACACATCACCGAATACACTACGCAAAGACAAAAACTCACTTTACGTTATACAAGACACCTAGATGTCAAAATGGTCCCGTCCTTGGCCTGAAAATGTCCTAATTTAACAATGATCGCCATGTATTCGGCAGATATATGAAACTTTAAGTGGTTTAAGTCGGGGTCAAGCTGTCCTAGCTCCATTCAGGCTGAGTTGATTTCAATACTTAAAAAAAATAAAATAAATAATAATAATAATAATAATAATAATAATAATAATAATAATAATAATAATTCATTTTAGTTTAGTCACATGTTAGCTAAATGAATAACTAAGTCCAGAAAAATCTGTATTTTGTATCAGATGACCCAGATTTTCCAACCCGATTCGAAATTCCGGCTTCGAATAATCCATTTCTGATTAAGACTTGAAGCGTGGCGGGTAAAATAAAGTGACGTGAAATGGACACAGCTGCGAAGTCGAGGCTGTTACCTTGCAGGAGCTTCACCGGCAGGTCCATGCTGAACGACATGTGTGAGAGTGTGTCCAGTTTAGAGAGCAGCATGCTGCTCCTGACTTCTCCCGAATAATTCAACCGCACCGAGAAATTATTGGCGCTATACATCCTCAGGAAAAAAAACCCAGTCCTCGGCTCCTCTCACGGGAGAGATAAACATAACCTAAAATCCATTCCGGATGTGGTCCACAGAGCGCAAACCCCGAAGTCTGAGGTTGCTCCGCTATAACGCTGCTGCCAGTATATACAAGAAAATCCTTCCGCCTGACCCCCGCTGACACACCACAAAGCTTGCTGCATTAAAACTACACGAACACACTTAAATGGAAAAAAAAATGTGCCCCATGTTTTAGGTAAATGTGAAGTCATTTTCTTGAAAATGTAGTCGTAATTCAATGAGAAACCCACGGCCTAGTTTATTCTTTACGCGACTAGTGCAGGGATTCGGAGACGGTCACTCGGCAATGCTGCAGCACACCAAAAACGAAAAAGCGCTTCCCCCAACAATAAACGAATAAATAATGTTAAAATGCAATGATTTTAATATTTGAATTAAAATGATATTATTGTTTATGGTATTAAGGTTGGTTGGACAATATGAGAGAAAGTTAATATGATGTCGTTTTTGTTTTGTTTTTTTCCAAACCATTCTGGTAACGGAGATGATTTGCTACTGGAAGCTCCAGTTACTCATATGTTACTTTTTGGGTCAATGTGAAGATTTAATTTTGTTGTACCATTTATTGTCCATGTTATTGTCCATCAAGACCACTGTTGTTAAATACCATAAAGTAGCAATTTTAAGTTATAAAAGTATTGTACTAAAAAAAGATTTCTTAAGGCATATTTGTTTTATATCAAAAAGCAAATGTAAATTTGGGGCAAACTGATTGTTTGATTTTGTATCAGCAACAACCACTAACCCTGTATTCACCCCTTTCAGTCCTGTCCACTACATGAATGTGACCCTGATCATTTGTTCTCTGCTATATTTAGCTGCTTCTATTTTAAAGCCTGTGCAATAACTGATCCACTCTAAAGAGTGAGTCACTGCTCTTGTGCTCTACTCCAAGAGCTTTAACCTCTTGTGTAATTTTTACAGAGGATATTTGTTACTGCCAGCAAGTTATAATGTCAGTGTACAATGGAGAATCAGAGGACAGTGACAGCTTCAATGGTGCAGACTGTGAAAGGTATCAACCATGTGCTGGCTCTGGTCTTGTCTCGGCTAAACTAACTATTGTGGTTGGAGACAGACAGTTCTCTGAGGAGAAAATGTTACTGGTGCAGAGCTGCGACTATTTTCAAGCTCTGTATCGCTCCGGTATGAAGGAATGTCAGCAGGAAGAAATCCACCTCAAGTCTCTGCGAGCTCAAGGATTCCTTTTAGCTTTAGCAGTTTTACATGGAGAGAAGCCAATTCTGGATGAGGACGACATTGTGGAAGCCATTGAATGTGCAGCTTTCTTGCAGGTGCCCCCACTTACTAGACATCTTATTGACCTTCTTGATGCAGAAAACTGTCTGCTGATGTATCACACCTCTGCAGTCTTTGGACTTATGGATCTGTACCATGCAGCAGCACTGTTCATTCGAGACATGTACACAGACCTTGAGGTAGAGGTCAAGAAAACCTTACCATTAGAGCTTATCTCTTATGTGGAGTCTTTGACCCCCCATGTTTTCATGGCTGTAGGAGCCCATGTGACCTGTGGTTTGGATGAAACTGTACATGCTGCCTCAAGGACCATCTGCTACCTCAATGAAACTGGCAATACTTGGAAAGTGTTAACAGATCTTCCACTAGAGGCCAGCACCTCAATGGCTGGAGTGACTGTTTTAGACAACAAACTGTTCATAATTGGTGGCATTCATGGCATCCATAAACAAGTTGTGGAATCTTGTTTTTGCTACAGTGTTGAAAGCAACAGCTGGAGCAGGATTCCCAGCCCAGCACAGCTGCGTTACAATCTTAGCCTTATGGGTCTCCATGGTCATTTATATGCCATCGGAGGGGAGTATGAGCGAACAGTAATGTCGTCTGTGGAAATATACAATGTAAAAAACAGAACGTGGACATTTGCTGCTAACCTACCTCGGCCGGCAGCAGGAGCAGCTTGCACCAAAACCATGAGCAGGATATTTGTGTGTTTATGGAGGCCAATGGAGACCACTGAGATCTACGAGTATGCATCTGGGGAAAATGAGTGGCATCTAGTTACCACACTGATCAGGCACCAAAGCTATGGTCACTGCATGGTGGGCCACAGGGACAACCTCTTCATCATAAGAAATGGCCCATCTGATGACTTCCTAAGATGCCTCATAGACTGTTATAATCTGAGCTTGGGCCAGTGGTCAACCCTGCCTGGACACTTCGCCAACAGTAAAGGTTCACTATTCACTGCTGTTGTAAGAGGGGACTGTGTGTTTACACTGAACAGAAGCATGACTCTAGAATACGTAGTGGAAGGTAAAACCTGGAAGCCTAGGCGGCAGATGAAGGGTTTCCCAAGAAGTGGATCTGTGTGGACATTTCTGCTTCAGCTGCCAAAAGCTCTCAGCCTGCAGTAGTGACACTGTCTGCTTTTTGGATTATCAGTATTATTTAAATTAAACTCAGATGGGGTTTTGTTTGTTTTTTGTTTATTACAACAATATTACTATTTTTAATCCTGATGCATGCTCAATCATCCAGGTAAGTGAATAAATAAGTTGACTGAACCAATAAAATGAACTCAGGTTTGCTCGGTAGTGATTTTATCTCTTTATGAAGTGCTACTGGTAAGAGTACATGTTTAGAAAATGGACATGTGAAACAAGCATAGTAAAAATGATAACATTTTATTATCAGCATTACCCACAACAACTGAACAAAATGTGTATGTTTTTGCAAAATTTCAAACACTTTGAATTTTATACAAGGTGCTCTTGCTACTCTGATTGCAGTTTAATTACTTCAGGTGCAGCTTTTCATTTTTTTTCTTGTTCAGTGAGACAAATCTAGTCTATTTTGGCTCTGAACAAATGCATTAAATTTAGGTTCAGTTTCTAAAGTTAAAATGTGGAGGGCGCACAACAGAAGATCTGCATTTGCTGTGGATTTCACAGCCCTTGCTCTTTGACTCAGCATTTTGTGTGTGTGTGTGTGTGTGTGGGGGTGTGCTTTTTAGTTCTTATTATTATTTTGTTTAATTTAATTCTTAGTTTGTCTGCTGTTTAGGTCTTCTCTATCATGTTTTCCTTTCTGGCTCTTTCTTGTTACTGTTGTATGGTGTTTTGAGCTTTGCATCATTTCTCTTGTAACATATTGCTTGGTTATACTCTCAGTTTAGTATTTAGGGTTCTGGTTATAATTTCCATGTGGCTTTTGTTAGTAAGAAAAAAAATGTGGTGCTTGAATGTGAAATATATAGTTTTTAATCCATAGCTAAGATTATTGATTGTATTTTTTTTATTCTTTCTAAATCCAGCCACACATTTTTCTCCTATTCATGTTAATGGGATAATGGTACATGTAAACTCTTATTTCCAAGTGAATGAAGCATCCCCATGCAGCTCAGCAGACAGCAGCAGACTGTATAAAAGTATAACAAACTGGGAAAGGACACAAAATACCTGACATGCTATTCATTTTCCTAGTTTATTATTTATTATCAATGTATATGTTTAGAAAAACAGAATATAAATATGGAGTAAACCCAGTCACTTATCCAGGCCTGACACTGAACTAGGATGGACACCTGTCCAATAGACTGGCACTGGTAGAAGGCAATGTGCCTTCTACCAGTGCACAAGAGTCTTGGAACAAATGCAATGATTTAACAGAGAAAGTCCCATCAAATATATATATGAGGCAATCCAGTCTAATGAAAAATGAGATAAATGATTCAGGCTATCTTCATAAAGGGGGAGACTGAAGGAAAACCTTGACCCTTGTTTTGATCCAGGCGGTCAATGTGGACATTGTGGAGGACTATAAATACCTTGTAGTACACATTGACAATAAACTGGACTGGGTTAAAAACACCACTGCACTCTACAGAAGGGCCAGAGTTGACTCTATTTTCTGATGCGGCTGAGGTCCTTCAACATCTTTTTGACAATGCTCAGGATTTTCTATGAGTCTGTTGTGGCCAATGCCATCCTCTATACTGCAGCGTGCTGGGGCAGCAGGTTGAGGATTGCAGATGCCAACAGACTAAATAAACTGATCTACAAGGCCAGTAATGTTGTGGAGATGGAGCGAGACTCCCTTAGGATAGTGTCTGAGGGGCAGATGTTGTCCAAGATAAATGGAATGCTGGATAATGCCACCCACCCACTCCATGACATGCTGGCTAGTCACAGGAGCACGTTCAGTGAGAGACTGAGATTTCCAAAAAGCACCACTGAACCACACAGGAAATCATTCCTGCCCATCTCCCTGTACAACTCCTCCACCTAATGCGATGTAGACTGAAATAGTTACACCTCTTGCACAGTACCTTTGTACAGTAAAATAGCAAATGACAATGTTCACAGGTTAGAGGTACATGTCAATCATATATATTTCACCTCTGTGATATTCCCACCCATCTAATATTCTTGATATTTATAATTGAGCGCTTTGTATATATTAGTGCTATTTCTTAAATGTGTTAACTCTGTAACATATTGTATTAATTAAGTAGTTTAGTCTATTACTGTTACTGTCTTGGAGCAACTGTAACCCACATAATTTCCTTAGGGATTAATAAAGTATTCTGATTTTGGATCTCAGGTACACAGCCTTATTTTGAGAAAGACTGAGAACAATAATGTGAGAGAGTAACAGAGCTGAGGTGGGAGAGAAACGACAATGTTAATTGTGTCAAATACAACCCTGGGACTGTTCCTAATACTATCTTCTTATAGATCTTCTGTAATGGTAAATGTGACCAAGAATAAGGGGAAGGCCAATGTCTGGTCTGCACACATGGGAGGATGCTCTATGTGACCCCCGCCAGCTTTAGTCTGGGACAGAAGCCAGGACCCAGCCTAGGTGATGGATGAACGTCTGTCTATAGACATTAATCTTGTCATGAGTGTTGGGGGCATGCTCTGTCTGCTCTGCGTCTCTGCAAACACACATGAACCAATCCTACTACACACTTTCAACAAACAAACAAGAAAAACAAAACCTAAACTACCAAAATAAAAAATACTGATTGTCTTCTTTACTTTAGTATTTCTATTTTATACTCCAGCTGATCTTTGAGGTCAAATACAACAGCTTATTTACTTTTTTATGTAGGTAACAGCAGTTTTTAACCAACTTATGAATTGATTCATTTGATGGAAAGAGAACCATAGTGCTCAGAGAATATTAACTAAACCTAAGTTTAAGAATGTACCTACCATGTTAAAACTACAATGTCCAGAAGATGGACGACAAAAGGAGCATGTTATTTCATGCCAATTTGTTGTTGATTTGTTTCATGCAAGTTATAATATATTTTAAAATATTAAGTAAAATGTAACATATAGTCAAAAGAAGAAGATAAATCTTAGTATTTATCGTGGTGGATGAGTGGAAGCCAAGAATAAAATAAATAATGATCGATCACACTAGATCTGACCTAATACGCCTACCTATATCTTCACTTAGAGGTGGAAATAGCTGGGGAAACCCCTTAATATACAAGCTGCAGATCTCAAGTTTTTGGACACACACACTTAAGTGAAGGACAATGTCAACAAACCTAAACAAACAAAATGAAGTGTTTTGTTTTGGTAATAAAAGGCTACTGAAAACAAGTCACGTTTCCCAGCTAACACAGGGAAAGAGGCAGGGTAAAGCCTGGACAGGTTGCTGTTGCAGGACTAACACAGAAAGACCAACAACCATTTATGCCTATGGTACTTGGTGGTAGAACATGCAAACTGCACACCACAGAAAAGCCATGGCCAGATGGTGGAGTTGAACTCAGGACCACACCATCATGCTGCCCACGATTCCTTCTATGGATTGATTCAGTGCAATGGATTGAGAGTGCCTGGTCGAGATCCAACATTTGGTGCTGAAAACCAGGACAAGTTTTGACATGAGGAACCCGTGACATGGGCACGTACTCTCTGGACTCTGTTCCTTTAAGATTCCACTTTTCCAGTAAAACCCAAAGATTCTCCATTCCATTAAGATCTGTTGTCTGGGGAAGCACCTAAAATCCATTGACACTAATCGTCATGTTTTGGAAGCCAGACTGAGATGATTTCACCTTGTTAAAATAACGCATTGTCATGCTAAAAGTAGCTATAAGATCAAACACTATACCCATATCAGGATACACATTAGTAGTATGACTCAGACATAGTTTAGAGTTCAGATCATCATGAACTGGCCATAAAGGGCCTGTGGAACACCAAGAAAACACTGTCCACAATCATTACACAACTAGCCTGTACTTTTGATATACGGCAGTTCTAGCCAGTCATTTAGTAACATGTTAAAAAATAATGGCAGTTAAAGCTTATGTAAGCTGGTAGAAATGAAATTAAATCAGTTGTTGTGATCAAAAATAAATGGTTTGTTTTCCCAAAGCACTTCACTTACATTTCAGTCTTGTCTCACTTTTCAGATAAAACAATCAGTCCCCATGATCACAGATGTTCCCTCCTTTGTGTCTTTTGGTTTTCAGACTCCCCACCCATGTCAGCAGAATAACCTGTGACTCTGGTGAATATAAAATGTATGAGTTGCTGAGCTTTTCTGTCTGTCTGTCTTTAACTAGTCTGTGTTGTCAGGCATTGTGTGCATGTTTCTTTGGACAGAAAAGAGGCGTGGCTGAAGACATTTTTCACCATGTCGGTCTCTGCTGACCTTTGACCTCTTAACTCATCTCAATATGCTTGTTTTTCCTTACGTAGTTGTTACCATGATTAGCTCGATAGCATCCAAGAGAGTGTAGGTTGATAAACAGCTAAAATTCTGCCAATTCTTGTGTTCTGTGGTAAATCATGATTTACACTGTGCCGGGCAATGAGCACAGGGCCCACAAGAGGACGCCATGCCCTCAGGCCACACTCATGAAGTCCGTTTATAATTGGTCAGAGACATTCACACCAGTGGCCTCCTGGAGGTCCTTGCATAAAGGAACTGATATTGGTCTTGCTGTTGGGTTAAGGACCGTCAGGCACATTGAGATAGCTTTTGGGCAGGTAGTTAGACCATGTATACACACATATGTATATACATATACATATAAATGTTTGCATGTGTACCCTATCTCCTCTTTAAAAGGTGATCAATGTGAGCGAAAAAACTTCCCCCCCCCTCCCTTTTTTTTTTTTTTTTTTAACATTTCTTTTGTTTCAAAATTAAAAATGCCAAAGATAACATGGTTCTACAGGCAAACTAGTATTTTTGGACCAACAAGGTGATTTCCAGAGAGCAAGTGGCTGAAAAATTGGAATATCTTGGAATGGTGTGTAGTGTGTTCTTTGAAAAAAAATAAAATAAAAAAAGCCAAACAAAATCTCAACAAGGAGAGGACAAATGATAGACTTGTAGTCAAGACCGCCTAAACTGAGACCAAGACAATACCAACACCAGAGGGTATCGAGACCAAGACGGAGACAAAAAAAGTCTTTAATCTGCAGCCAGATGCTGCTTCATCTACGGGTGTCAGGCATATTTATGTGTTTTTGCGATGCACTCGCACAGCCCTCCTCATCGCTGTCTACTGTCTCACTCACTGAGAGGACAGACACACGCTCCACTTGACTGTCGCGTCTCTCACGCTCTCTGTTTTTCACATAATATTATCCAATATCCTCGCATGTGATTGGCCACAATACGGAAGGATTGGAGCATAGCTGAGCCACTGTGTGAGAGCTGAGCAGCGAAAGGAAATTAAGTGAGGAGCTGGCTCTCGCTCAATGGGAGTCCACTATGATTCACTATAAAGCACTCTCTAAGCACGGCTCTTAGAGCTGATACTTTTGTGCATGACACATTATCGAACGTGATGATGTGTGTCATGGATACTGTTGACTGACTCCAAATCTCTCGACCACTATGTCGATCTGAGAAAGCAAGACCTAGACAGCGAGACCAAGACCAAGACCAAAGTCCGTCGAGACCAAGACAAGACCACATAAAAGTGGTCTCGAGACTAAGACCAGTCTCGAGACATCCAACTCTAACAAATGAAGAAATGGCAGGCCTCCAAATGAGCATCAATATATAGACTGGAAGTTAGGGGAGAGGTACAACAGTATATCTACAACCAACTACATTAAAGGAAGTGGTTTGGGGATCTTTCAAAGCAGTCAGCTTCTTGAATGTACATCATTGGCTTCATTTTTCAGCATGACAATGGCTTCACTGTTTTTAAAGCAGCATGGGATCATCATGGCAGTAAAATAGCAAAAACACCTAAAGAAAAAGTTTGCAAATCCCTTCAAGAAGCCTTGAGAACAATTGATGAAAAACTTAAATTTCAAGCAAGCTTGCTCAAGATAATTTTGTGTGTGCGTGACTTTTAAGACAATTAGATTTGTACATGTTCTGTATTTGCCCCACACTGCATTAACCTTTATGTTTTTAGATGTTTCAGTAAATGACTACAGCAGTGTTTCCACTTTATAAAGGTTGACTATTAATATTTTAGTATAATTCTCTATTGATCACATGAAGCCCTGAATGATGACTATTTTTAAGTTTTCCCTTGGGTGCCCTAGATTATGAACGCTTACCACTGTCTGATAACGCCATCTTGTGTCCAGCGGCGTATACATGGTAGTGAGCACTAGTGATGATAAATTTGATTCTTTTTACTGAATCGAGTTTTAATGAGTCACTCACCAAAGTGAATCGAATTTTTGAGTCATTTGATTCACTGAGTCAGTCGACCAGAGAGTGCAAAAAATGTACATTTTCACTCAAACTTAATTTGTTTCTCTTTTCATGTAAATCCTACTGCTAAGATGAATGATTCTAAAAGAAAACCACTATTTTATAGAAACAAAAAAGAGCAAAAACATTTCTAAAATTAAGCAATTTCCTATCAAAATTGCTTAATAAACATTTTATTTTAATATATTTTTATTTTTTATTTTATTAGTATTTTCCTTAAATGTGTTAAATATATATTTTCTCATCTAAATGTCCACTGAGCTGTGAGCCAGGGGGCGGTAATGCGCCTTAACATTGGTTGACAACCAAGAAGAAGCTGTGAGCGAGGAGGGAGGGGGTGAGTGAGTGAGTGATTCGTTCGCTTTATGATTCAGCACAGGATGGAGAGGGTGAGCGAGTCCTGAGTGATTCGCTTACGCTTACGATTCAGCACAGGAGGGAGGGCGTTAGTGAGTCCTGGGTGATTCGTTCGCTCTATGATTCAGCACAGGAGGGAGGGGGTGAGTAGCTCAAATGTGCTGTTAGCATCTTAGCAGAGCGATGCTACTGTGAACCGAGGAGCTATTTTCTTGATGTGAGCTTCTACTCAGGGTTTTTTCTTCCAGTTCAGAGCAGAAATTTTTTTGTTACGATACTGGATGTTGTCTTTTTCTCCACAATTTTAATTATAAGCTAGATACATTTCTGCTAACAGCAACAGGGATAAGTCAGTGAGTCAGTTGGGCTTGTGAATCATGATTCATGAATCATGATTCATGAGTCAGTAAAGTCATTCTCGAGTATTGAACGATTCGTTCATGATTCGCGCATCACTAGTGAGCACGTCCCTGTGGGAGGAGACTGTAGCTCCCTTTCACGCAGCTTGTGTGGAAGCTTTGAGTTCGCAGTTTTGTTGACTCAACTTTTAAAGCTAGATTCTTCGGTAAGTTTAAGACCCTTATAGGGAACTTGCAGACCAAAAATCGACGGAGAAGCAACAAACCCGAAGACACCAGCTCAAAGGTCTGCTGCTAACAGGAAGTTGTTCACGTGATTTAACAAATAAAGGTAAGAAATGTTCCACATTCGCTACAATGTTTATGCAGCTGTCATTGAGACTTAAATGTGTTTTTCCACTGATGTGCTAGACTACTATCAGGGTCTGTTATATCACTTACATTCAGGTCACTATATTTCATTTAGTATTATATTTTTTTCCAATACATGTGTAATAAAATTAATATAGGTTGCAGACAGGTCGCCAGCAAAAACTAGTATTTTAATGACTTGCCCAAAAATTTCAAATGTTTTGGCATTTTAAGGTATACAGTGTAGATCAGTGGAGCACAGTAATGACACTGAATAATTGCAAAAAGGAAAAACAAAATGTAACAGTTGTTCTTGTTATTGACCACATTCTACAGTAGAGGTGTCAGTCATGTTAAAGGTCCAGTCCGTTTTTTGGAGGTGTGGTCTTAAACTTTTGATCAGCTGTAAAATAGCTGTTTTAGTTTAAATGTTGTTTTCAATAAATTGCATGCCCCAAAAATGTTTTCTTTCACTCCCATTTCTTCTTGTTTTCATGTTGAAACTTGTTCAGATCCAACCATGCAAAATATGATTTTTTTTTTGCCATTTTTCAAGTAGTCTTAAACTTTTGATTGGAACTGTATTTAATACAAATGCATATAATGCTTGAGTGATTCAATTCCAAATCCAAGTCAAGTAATATGTTTGTGTATTTAGTTCAGGATGGACAGGAAGCAGTGTTGTGTGAAGCTGTCGGTTCAGCCATCCAGAGGGCTCATGGATGAGAAATTCATTGTCCTCGTCCAGAATGCCCTGCCTGGTTCCCAACTGACCATCCGTGCCCTGCACCAGTGTGAAGATGGACACAGCTGGGAAGCGTTTGGTCACTACACTGCTGATACCACAGGGACCATCAATGGTACATTGTTCAGTACTGAGACCTGGAAAACTAAGAGAAGAAAATGTAGAAAGATGTAGAAAGACATTATATATAATATATACAATAGGTGAATGTGCAGTAGTAGCATGTATGCAGCAAGCAGGTGAATTCTGTACATTAAGTGAATTAAATAAGAATAGACAATCTGACTATTTTACAAAATAGACAATATGAACATATTTAAAATGAAAGGAATTTGAAATGTACATTGTGCCGGTGGGTTTAGAGTATCTAGAAGAGAGTCCTGTCTCAGTCACTTATGGATGATGTGAGAGGGCAGGTGTGTGTGTGTGTGTGTGTGTGTTGGGGGGGAGAGGAAGCAAGAAGAATGAGTTGAGTAAAATTTGACTTATCTGACTGTTATGTTTCACATAATGTGCCTTACAATCCGGTGCGCCTTATTGTCAGAAAAAAATGGTAGCCATGAAAGCTACCCCCAAATTTGGGATTATAGATGACAGAAATAACATAATGTAATGAGGTAATTAAAAATTTAATTACATAACTGTCGTCAACAAAAGGTGCTTTATCTCTTGGCTATTACTGTCGCCCGGCAATAGTTGCAGATGATATTGCTTGCAGCCGCTGCAATGCTTTCAACCAAGACAGGCGCAGATTGATGATACCATCAACATGCGCTATTGCGGTAGAGCGGTATAAAATGGTAAATGGCCTGTATTTGTATAGCGCTTTTACTAGTCCCCCCTAGGGACCCCAAAGCGCTTTACACACCCAGTCATCCACCCATTCACACACACATTCACACACTGGTGGAGGCAAGCTACAGTTGTAGCCACAGCTGCCCTGGGGCAGACTGACAGAAGCGAGGCTGCCATATCGCGCCATCGGCCCTTCTGGCCAACACCAGTAGGCGGTAGGTGAAGTGTCTTGCCATTTTTTTTTTTTTTTTTTTTAAGAAATAGGACAGGGGGAATGAATGAGAGAAAGAGGGGGAGAGAAAGAAAGAAAACCAAAGGGGAGAAGAGACGGTGAGAAGGGGGGGGAAAAAAAAAAACAACAACTCCTGGGTCACCTGTATGGAGAAAAAAAAAAAAAAAAAAACAAACAAACAACAAAAAAAAAAACAAAAAGAAACAAAAAAAAAAAAATGACAAAGGATGAACTGAAGCTCTGCCATCACGTAATGTCGCATACTGCTGTTTCTGATGTCATTTAAAAAAAAAAAAAAAAGGTGAAGTGTCTTGCCCAAGGACACAACGACCGAGGTATAGTCAAAATCTCTACCGTTGGCCAAATTCATATCGCTTCTACCATATACCGTTTATACCGCCCACCCCTATGTGCACGTATCTAAAAGATTGTGTTTTATTTGACTTTTTTTTAGTTTCAGAGGATCCCAGTATAGGTGGGACATATTCCGGAGTCGAACAGATGGGTCTACTGTGGAGCTTCAGACCAATTCCAGGCAGCAAATCTGGACTGAGGTAGTCTTTTTGTGGAGATGACACCAATGCAGAATCCAGTATTGGCACCATAGATAATTCTCCCATCTCTCCTCAGAATGCGAAAGAAGAACATCCAGACTCCCATGGAGGTCACAATTTCTGTTTACCAGGGTCACCAGACAGAGGGCTTCGCAGATCTGGTGCCACTCTCTGGTGTGGCGGTGGAGCGCTGGTATATGGCACCTGGTGTGCGTAGGATTCCAGTTACAGAAGGTGGACTCACCGCAGCCCTTTTTCTGCCCTCGGGTAAGTCCTGAAGAAGGTCCACAGTGAGATATCCTGTGGGTGTAAATTAAATCAGCACATGTTTGTTAACTTGTCTTAAGGTCCTGGACCTTTTCCTGGCCTGCTGGATCTATGGGGGGGTGGAGGGCAGTTGGTGGAGTACCGTGCAGCGCTCTTGGCCTCTCATGGATTCGCTAGTATGGCCATCGACTACCTGACCGCTAAAATCACCATGGAAACTGGAAAGATGGTGGACAACCAGTATTTTGAGGTACATCTAACAAAGTTAATGTTTTGGTTACAAGGAAACAACGTTAAAAAAAAAAGGAGATGGGTTCAGCTAGTCTCTTTCACCTCTATAGCAATGTTGACCACCCTGGGCTTCCACCTGAGTTATCCTTCTTTTTGACTCCAATGAAGACTGTAGTTTACAAAATTATATTGTCTTCAAAAAGACTTGAAACAAGCAATTAAGCCAAAAGCCAAACAAGAATGTTTACTGATGTCATAGACTGAAGGATTTCAGGTCCATTCCATAGACTTCCATACATGTCTTTTTGCAACCAGATGAATCACCATATGGATCATGGAAAACAAGGTATGTTTTAATACACTTAGACTTCTTGATACTGTTGCGTACATCAGTGAATAAAATCGGTTTTCATAGAGTCTGTGGTAAAAATGAAGTAGTCATGCATTTTGGATCTGATATTAAATGATCTTTAATGCCACTTTCCTCAAACAAAGTCTCTGCAATGTCTGATTACATGCATGCAACAGCATCCTGCCTCCAGCATTTCCTACCCAAGCACTATCTTTGTCCTTGGTTAAATTCTCTTAACCTTTCTGATGTATGAAAACAGCTCAGAAATCTCTGTATAATGTAAACCAGATGAAGTTAGAATGACAGCGAGACAGTTTACAGCCTGAAATACTTTGAATGCTACAAAGCTCTGGGCTTTTAGATGCACCATGATTCATGTCAGGTTGATTAAGACTGAATAAAACATTTGGGTGATGTCACGAGATGCCACAAAGAAATGGGACATCTGATCATCTCAAATCATGTATGCCTTAAAAGATCTTCAGTTTCTTTAATTTCAAATACTGAAATGCAAACTGCCCTTGAAGCTGCTGTCACTATGCTGTGTGTGTGTTTATAGGTAACTAGCCCCATGAAAAACTGTCTCAAAGTGTCATTCTCTTTCACACACGTCTTTAATCAGACAACAGAAACGAGAATGAAAAGTGTTGAAGTTGTTTTAGTTTAAAACGTTTAAACTCAATTAAAATTTGTTGTTCAGGTGTTATGGCATGCATGGTCCCTGCATGATTTTTAAAATATAGATGATATACCATGGACTATGGTTTCTGTCATTCTCAGTTTTAGTTTATATCTTTTGACTTTTGTACAAGATTTTGTGTTTTGCCTAGTAATTATGTTGGTACCTTTATGTTTTGAGGAATTGGGTTTGACACTTCCTGGCCCTAAAAATCCTCTTGAAGAATTCGTTTATCTAACCTTAAAGATCAAAATGAAAGTCCTGGTTTTGGTGTTACCTGTTGTCTGATATATTTTTCCACCTACAGACAGCCTACAGAGTCCTGCAGCAACATCCTCAGGTCTGCGGCAGCAAGATCGCCATGATAGGTCTTTCCTTTGGCACCAGTATCACCCTCAAGATGGCTGTTTACTCTGAAGTTATAAAAGTAAGACATATTTTTATAGTGACACTGGAGCTGGAAAATCAACATCAGTCTATTTTCAGCAACAATGCATGGTCAGGATGAAGAAATAGGTTGACCACTGGCTGTGTTTTTAAAGTCACTGGTTTTGGCAAATTGCAACTTCATCATTTCTTAGAATATTCTTGTCTACCCATCTTATTCCTAATCAGGTCTTTTTGTCAGTTGATAACATATGTGTATTTTATGTGTGTTTTTTTCCAGCTCAGTGCTGCAGTCTGTATCAGTGGGAGTCATGTGCAGCCAGTTGATGGATCTGTGGAAGAATTATTGAGATTCTTTCAGAAGTAAGTTTACGTGTTGTCAGTTACTTTTTAGTTAAAGCCAAATTGGAAATCTAATATATTGAAAGATGTTAGAATAATCTTTTTTAACTTTTAATTTTTTGTCCCATCAGAAATGGTGAAAAGACTCGCTTCAGTGAAAAGAACGAGGTGATCTGGCGAGATCTGCTGTTGCCCATCCCCACCGACCCTTCACTCAAAGTCAATGTGGGTACCACCAGCTAAAGCATATTTCTGTCTTAAAGCCCTTACACACGAGAGACGATAAATCCATGCTTATATTTTGTGCATTAAAAGTCACCTTTGGATTCATCTAATGTAGCCATTTACACCAACCCCGTAATTATTCCTGCTGCTGAGGTAGGATGCAGTAACTCATCATCGCTTCACTTTATTTCTTTCACAACTAGGGCTGGGCCATATTATACCGTTCACGGTAATACCGGTACAATGTTAGGCAACGGTAAGAAAATGAAATACCGCGATAGAATATGGATAAAACGCGCATGCGCAGTGCCTTTGTTTTCATACGCACATGGCCGATTGTTGAGTGAAACGGATGAACCAGAATTGGTTTGTAAAAATGGTGCAAGTTCAGTGATGTGGAACTGGTTTGGTGTTTGTCCGTCAGATACACAACAAAGCACATTTTTTTGTAGAACATGCAAGCGGGCCGTCGTTATTGCCGTATTTGTCGGACTAAGGTGCTCGTAAATCTGGGAGTAATCTGGATCTGAAACTCCGTCCCCTTCAGGTCCCAAAGTCAAACGAACACACAGCATCACTGAGAGTTAAAAACTGTCTAAATTCTTTCATCTTTAATAAAACGATCAGCATTGCTGCTTTACCAGGTGTAACTATGAAG